AATCGTATTCGAGCGTTATGAGCGATCCTCTAGCCATGACACTTGTCATAGCTTCTGTAGACTCGCCACAGATTTGACACCCCCGTGTAAATAGCTAAAAGAAAACTCTTCAGTATCAGCTGATAAGTCACAGACAGCACAAGGAAAAAATTATTTTGGTTAATTGACTTGCGGCACCGTTGTACGACCGTCAATTATCGCTTATTATTATTGTCTTATGCGTTATGCATTCTCTACTGATTGGCCAAGCGGCTAAAAAGGAATATTGCTTGAACGATAAGCATTATTTCTGTAAAGCTATTCACCAGAATAACTACCAGATTTTCCTGCAGTGTATTGACTTGTCGGGAATTATTCTTTAAAAGTGCAAAGCATATTATTTCGCGACGTCTCTGTTTACTCAATTTAGGTGCAGCTCTTTTCTGATAAAAAATGAAAAGTTAGATTACTGTTAACCTAATAAAAAAAAAGAAAAACAAAAGAAGAGAGAAAAAAAATCATTCTCTTGCTTAAGTCCATGTGACTTAAATGGAAAATTCTTATTGACTTTTAATTACATATTTGCATACCTGGATGCAGATATGATAGAGAGGTAGAAGATGAACCAGAGATTCTATATATTTCTACGTATAAAGCAACAAGTTGTCATTATATTCTCATATACGTTAAAATTATGATTTTTAAATAACTTCTGTGATCTTCTAATGTCCTTGATATTGGTGATATATAATGTAAATGCTTCGATAAATGAAAATTGAATCACAAAATTTTATAATCTTATGAAATATGGGAATGTGATGATGTTTGAGAAGTCATTTCGTATATAAATATTTTTTGCGATCTTCGATGCGATTTTGTAAACATTGCATATATAAAAACACTTAAATACTCCAGAATAAGTATTTTCAAATAAAATTTTACAAAAACCCATTACCGATGGCCGAATCAATATTTACTCTTAACAAATATCAAATATGCTATTAGTGCTACGGTTGATGCTGTTTTTGTGCGAGAATTTTTATGCAATTTTTTTTTTATTCGATTCGATCTTTTCTTGCACATTATATAAATATGAATGAATGATGTCTTTCCAAAAATGATGGTGACATTATCGTTCACTTAACAGTTCATGAATTCCGCTATGATAGCGGATGAAATATATATATATATATGTAGAGATCGAACTTTATAGCAAATTTCAAAAGCAGTTTCTTGTAATATCGACCGCGACTATCAAATCAGTGTTCGCAGCGTTGCGAAATCTCAAGTGTCAAGTGCAGTTTTATTTGATCGTAGCTATAGCGAACGCTCATAACACTTATCGATTGAGTTCCAAAAGCACTAAGTTGCGGCCACCACATACATAACTATTTCCCTCTCCATCCTGCTTTCTGGCGCTCATCATACTATACATATTAGAAAGGAAAGTAATTTCGGAAGAATTTCGTAACTCCACAAACAACTTCGATCGTTTATATTTGACTATCGCGGCAGCATTTACAAGTAGCTGATCAAATAATCTCATTATCGCAATAATTTATTACCGAGCGCGTATGATCACGAAAAGTGAATCGACTGCAAGCACCTCAACAGATGAGAGCGTTTACGAAATAATTAACAGCAAGAATATACGCATTTTTGATTACAGGTAGTAGGCCCGTCGATTAATGGACCTCTTTGAAAATTTGTGTCTCTCGATATTTAAAATGGGAACTTAAACGCTTTAAAATGTGTTCATGGGTAATTTTGTTATTTGGAAAGCATGATGTCGCTATTTTCAGTAGGGGGGGCGGGGGGGGGGGGGGCACTCTTTCACACAAACCCTATGCAATAAATTTGTTAGTGAATTAGTATGTGATGATGAAGTGATTTGTTATAACTAACTATTCATGAAATTTTTGAATAAATTTTTTCTCTTCGTGCGGGTAGAATAAAAACAGGTTCAATTGTATTTCCTTTAGTTGTGCATCATATCAAGCGAAACCTAGAATTTGTTTTTCATAAATTTCCAATTTGTTCGAAAATGAACGGGTTAGATCTATAGGAGCAAACCAAAGTATCCTCTATTCAGTTATGATAAACTATTAAATATTAATTTTAAGTTAACATTTTATTTAGGTTGAAAATATAGAACTTTTTCATTTTTCATTTTTCATTTTATTTGTTTATGTGTTTTTTTTTTTGTTTTTTTTTACTTCACAATCAAATTTAAATTGCATGAAACTTTTATACAACAAATGTATGTATGTTTTCTTCAATTGTTATCTATTAGGTT